TACATTTGTTAGAAATAATGGAAGTTGCATCCAGCACATCTGGAAGTTGCATCCAGCACATCTGGTAGAGGGCAGGTGCCCAAATCCACCATGTGTTACAGTGTAACTATTTGAAAATAATAAGAGGAAGATTTAGAACAGGGCTTTTCAACCAATGGTACGGGTACCACCTGTGGTACATTGGCACCTGGCAGGTGGTACGTGGCCATCCTAGAAAAGTGGTAGCGGGGGAGGGGAATGTGCTGAACCAGTGGCAGCACCGCACAAGCCTGAGCGAGAGATGGCTGGAGCTGCAGGGCTGTCAGGGCTCAGCGGAAGCGCCAGGATCAGTGCTGCTTTCCAGCTGATCGGCGCTTCTTCAGGACTGTCAGGGCTCAGTGGAAGTGCCAGGATCAGCGCCAGGCTCCAGCTGGAGCTCGACGCTGATCCTGGTGCTTCTGCTGAGCCCTGAAGAAGCACTAATCAGCTGGAAAGCAGCACTGATCCTGGCACTTCTGCTGAGCCCAGAAGAAGCGCCGATCAGCTGGAATGTTGCAGCATCTCCAGGGTCTTGTGATTTACATTCGGATGCTTGGCAACTGGTTCATATGTACGACGGTCACAGTGTCCCAGGGTCATGTGAAGTGACCAAAACCTTCTTCAACCACCCAGCAGATGGGGGGAATAAAAACCAAACACCCCCCCACCCCACCCCCGCTGCCAATCCTCAACAGAAATGCTCACAACAATGAAAACCTCAGACAGGAGGAAGAGCGCCGCCGGGTGGGCAGGCAGGTGTCTTGCTCGACTGTGGCTTGGGGGGCACTTTTTTCAGTGCCATTGTAATTTTGAACAGTCACTAAGCTAACTGTTGTAAGTCGAGGACTACCTGTACTTTATCACTTTTTTCCTTTTTTCTTTTTTTTGGGTCATCAAGTTTTTGACACCTTGCTAGGCAACTGGTGGTACTCGGATGTTGCCATATCCTAAAAGTGGTACAATGGGTGAAAAGGTTGAAAAGCCCTGATTTAGAACACTGCTGCCTGGGTGATAACGTAAGGCAGACAGAGGCAGATTAACACAACACATTAAAGCAAAGGTTGAAAAAAGCTTGTCAAAATGTGTCCAAAGAGCAAGGCAAATAGTTAGAGAAAGAAGTATATCTCTAATTCAGAGGTATCATCATGAAGGAATGAAAGGAATTCCTGAATGGGCTGTTGGATACAAACTCTTAATATAGAACCCATAGACCAAGGGTGTCAAACTGCTAGCCACAGGCCAGATGTGTCACGTGGAAGCCACGCCCACTCCATTGCCAGCAATGGCAAAACAGTCCCGATACATTGCACGATGTCACGTGACATCGCGAGTTCGATATGTCTGCCATAGACAATGACTAACCAAAAAGACAAAACTTTAGTGGACGTGCTAGGCATAAAACTAATCAAGGATGGGATTGTCTCCAACAGACATGGGAAACATAAGGCTAGTTTTTCCAGTAATTCAGTAGTATAGTCAGTACAGCCAATTTTGGTGTGGTGATTAAGGTGCTGGAATAAGAATGGAGAAACTTTGTTCTAATTCAGCCTTAGGCATGAAAGCTGGTTTGTGTGTGTGTGTGTGTGGGGGGGGTGATCTTGGGCCAATCATTCTTTCTCAGCCCAAGAAAGAAGACATTCTGCCTAGATCAGAGGTCCCCAACCTTTTGGGCACCAGGGGCCGGTTCCGTGGAGAGAAGTTTTTCTGTGGACCGGAGGGTGCGTGGTTTTGTGTATTGCCTGCACCCCCCAGATGGGGCTTTGCTTGTTTGTGTGGACCGGTTGCTGGCATGCTGTGGCCTGGTACTGGTCCACGGACTGGGGGGTTGGGGACCCCTGGCCTAGATAACCACATGAACTTGTCCAGGCATTTGGCAGAAGTCAAACCTGACTGAAGGTTAAAAAAAAAAGCTACACCAAAAGTTAATAATATGAGTAAGTGATGATCCTGAAGTCCCTTACTAGGAGGGCATCTTAGTTAACTTATGAGTTGAGACAGACAAGCTTGCACCATCGGCTTGTTAGCATACTGCTATATTATGAATGTTGTTATTTGTTACAGAGCTCCATGAGAAAACTGCCGCTTTAAATACTGAAGAATTTCAGGGGGGAGAAAATGTCCCATCCAAGCTTCCGGATGAAAACATCGACAGCCCTACAGAAACAGAGGAGGAACAAGGAAAGATACAGCTGAATGAGACCAGTGAGCCAACTGAAGAGGAAACCCTGTTAGAAGACAATGAGAGCATAGCAGAAGAAGATTGGGAAGGTCCAGGTGATGAATCTCAACAGGAAAACAGTGTGGCTTCTCATAAAACAGGGCAAGAAAACAATAATATCCAATGCCTTCCTACCAGTCCCAGCTGTACCTCCCAGACTGAGGAATACGATGACCAACCAGGTGCCTTGAAAAAAAATGATATCTCTCGGCACAGTTATTCTCGTTACAACACAATATCTTATCGGAAGATCCGGAAGGGAAACACTAAACAGAGAATTGATGAATTTGAGTCCATGATGCATTCATAAACTGAGGCAGAGAACCAAATAGGCTTGCTAGGATTCTTCTCTTCCATCTATCTCCACTCCAGATGTTTCTCCATCTACAATATCATGTTATTGTAAAGTCTTTGGTGGCTTCGATCCAACTAAATATAGTAGTCCTGACTAATGGTGTAACAAGAGTCTCCCTTGCCACTTGGGAGTTAGCCACATTGACTGCATGAAGGGTTACTTCTAAATTAATATATACATAAGAACAGGCTGCATGATTGCAATCTTATACCGTATACACTTAACTGGAAGAAGTCCTACTCAATGTAATGTAACTTACTATGGCAAGTACGTACCTACATATCTTGCAACAAGCTTGTGATCTGACTTCTAGCCTACTGATTTCAGTGGACTTAGGTGCAACTGATTGTAGCTGGATTGGGGCAATGAAATTTCATTTTAATGTATGCCGATTAGTGTACATTCAAAGTGACAATAAAGTTATTGTTTCTATTCTATTCTATTCTATTCTATTCTATTCTATTCTATTCTATTCTATTCTTGATTGGTTATAGACTTAAACAGTGTAACTACTTCTATTTTAAAATGACAGTTTTAGGGTTTAAGTCAGTAGTATGACCAATTTACCCTAATTTGATTTTAAAGATGCATTTCAAACAAAATGTTTCTGTCCATTTTTGGTATATCATTGATTCTTTCTTCTGCTTTAACAAGGTTTTTTTTTTTGCCAGTTTTTCTATAGTGCTATCCTATCACATCAGCATTTCATGTCAGGCTTAATAAATTACGTATACTGACTAACTCAGTCCAGTAGCATCTTTCTAAGAGAGCAATCTAGTTAATTCTTATTTGGCAGCCAGAATATAGAAAAACAGGCTGCTTTGAAAATATGACTCATCGGGGTTCTATCAACTCCAGTCCTACCGGAATACACATGTACCATCAAGTACAATGGTTCTTAGCTCAGTGTAAACATTCCAGGAAATGGGCATATTCATGTCCACATTTGGTAATCAAATCTTTATTATGATCATAGACCAGCATATGAAGGGTAGAATACAAACAGTTAATGATTTTAAAAACTGAAAATATATATATAAATTTATGTATATATGTGTGTGAATGTTTTAATTATGTTATTTTATATATATATTCAATATATATATATATATTCAAAATTTTGTGGCTTTATAGTGTTCACAGTATCTGAGGTCTTATATATATATACGTATCTTATATATATATAAGATTTGATTTGATTATGTCCACATTTGCCATGGTTTCAGGTGCAGTGTGTTCTACATAAAAATATGTAGGATTATGCTGCATTTAAATTTATTAATAGGCACTCTTGGTAGGCTATAATGTCAGAAGCCAAATGAAAGAGAGGATAAGGCTTCTGTACTTTTCACAGCTGTAGTGAAAATCAACACAATGCTGTGTTATCTGAAGGTATTTAAGATAACTCCTCCCCCCAAAAAATAAGAATAATCAAAATTAATAATGCAGACAGCCAAAAACTCTGAGCAAAGCCCAAGTTCCTTCCCTTTTTAATATAGGTTTTGACTGCAGCTGAAACTAATCCTAAGGCATGCCTACTTCCCAATAATAACATGCACTTGTCACAATTATGTGTGCAGATCTGTGTTGCAAGAAGCCATACCGCAAAGAAAAAAACAAACTTCTCCAGGATCAAAAAAAAAATTAATCTTCTCCAAATTAATAACCACACATTGTCTATAAAATAAGACACCCTCTTTATAGGATTAGTTGATCCTTCTTGTACATATATCAGCCATTCTCTTTCGCTCTAATGGGGAAAAACCTTGGGAGAATGGGGCAAAAAAATGCCACCTAGGGAGCCAATGAGATAAGAGTCAGCAGAGCCTGCAGCTGGATAGCGGGTGGGGCAAGAGGCTCTGTGTTTAAAACATTAATCTCAGTTGGTTCACCTCACAAACAAGGAAATCATCTTTCGCCTGTAATTTGTTTGGTATGGAATGAAATGCATCTGAAGAAACATTGAAACCTGCTGCACTTTTTCAGGAAATAAATTGTGGAGAAACAGTGTAAATGCATTGAATGATAATGTTTATTAAACTCGATGAAGATTGTATGCTTTGAAGATATGGATCAAGCAATGATGCAGATACAGGTGAAAGGGTCTTCAAAAGTTTCAGGTTCTGCAAATCCCTGATAAAATAAAATGGGTGGCTGCTTTAAACCATGAAATCATCTTTGGAGAACTTGGGGCACCTTATATGGTTTCCCCAAAAATACAGATGACCATGAAATGGCTTTCCTAAGATAACCACTCCAAGCAAGTAGATGTGCGTAACAGTTATGTCTCTATTTGAACCATTTGAGAAATGAAGGGAAATTGTGAATCCCAGTTTCCATGTCTATCTTCTGAAGGTAGTCAACAGAGTAACAGATCATAAGCCATCATATGGTTAGTTTTTGATTTAGCAAAATAGATGTATCTCAACAGACCATGATTAAAATATCATGATTTAATTTGATCTGTGAACTGATTTCTTAAGATCTGCAGTCATGGGGGGGGAGGAGAGGGAGAAGGTATTATGTAATTAAAGTTATTTTGTAGAGTTGAATGTAAGACTGTTGGTTGTTTGATAAAGTTTTTAACAGGATTTGTTACTTTAAGTAACTCTTTTTATGCTTAGCTCTCATTTTAGGGCTACCAGATCTAGGCTGAAAAAAATCTAGATGATCACTCGATGGCAAAATAGAATTACACAGATAATTCTTGCTTACCAATGACTATTTGTTAACCCTAACCCATATCTTTCTATCTATCTGTGTCTGTCTGTCTATCATTTATCAAATTTATTTAATCATTTATTTATTATCAAGTTTATTTGCTGCCCATCTGGCAGTTCAGGCTTCTGACTCTGAACATAAGCCTGTAACTATGACCAGTCTTCAAAGTTATGGCCGTTGTAGTGACCCTGTGTGATCAAAATTAAGTTTGTTCTCATGTTGGGCTACAATAAATGCAGGAAAACACTTGTGGACAGATCAGGAAATTGTTACAACAGAGCCAAACTTAGCAAGTATACAGAGATAAATGGTAGTCACATCAAGCCATTCCTCCCCACCTCTTATACATTTCTAATTCAAACATTTAGGCCAATCATTAATAATGAGAGTATAAGGCATTAGTTAATCAATTAAGATTTCTTAACAAGGACCCCTTATATGCAGTCCCCCCCCTCTTATTTATGGTTCGCTGCAATGGCTACTGTAAACGACAACCCCTAAGTCTTTAATTTTATTTTCAGGCAACTTTTCCAGCATGCTTATTTACCCAGACAGAGCTACTGCTCATTATAACCTTTTAACTTTTTATCAGTCCTTATGCTAGTTTAGGTATTATTGTAAACAAAATATTCCAACACTTTGCTATTAAGTCTTTGACTATAAGTCAACCAATGTAATGTCTGCAAAATAAATGTCACACTACTGAACCAGATTGCCAAAATTCTCAATTGCAGTTTCCAGATAACAGCAATAGCAATAGCACTTAAACTTATATACCGCTCCATAGTGCTTTACAGCCCTCTCTAAGCGGTTTAGAGAGTCAGCATATTGCTCCCATCCATCTGGGTCCTCATTTTAACGACCCTGAAGGCTGAGTCAACCTTGAGCCAGTGAGAATCGAACTGTTGGCAGTGGGCAGAATCAGCCTGCAATACTGCATTCAAATGACTACACCACAACGGCTCTTACCTTATTTGCAGCCTTGTGTATACCATGTTGCAGCCATTCAGTCTCAAGGTGATGTAGGTGTGAGTTGCCTTCACTAAGGCTTCACACTCCAGAAAGGGTTGCATTTGAAGGACTGGGCATAGCTGGGCAACAACACTCTTATTCATAGCTTTCAGCTGTGAAGGACTTGTACTTCGTGAGGTTCAACAAAGTGCAACTTTCTGTTCCTGGAATTCCTTTCAACTTGTTTTGTTCTGCCTCCTGACTGCAGGTTTCCTTAGCCATTGGAAGCAAAATCAAAGGACAACCATCTATGCCAACTCATTTTCCACAGGAAAAGGTGCTCAAAGTCCAACTTAAGAAGGGTTCTGTTAGTAGAATGGGCAGCCAACATAAATCTGGACACAATCTTTGGTTCTGTGATGAATTGTCTGGCTTTATATTTAAATTATATCTAAATTTGCATTTAGATGCATAAATTGGATCACACACATTTATTCAAATCTGTTTATCAGCATTATGCTTGTTTCTTTTTGGTGTTGTGTACGTGGTCCTTGAAGGGGTCGCACATATTGGCTTCCCATCCAGAATTTATCACATAAATAGATAGGCATCTACTTCAGACTGTGCATATATTACATTTAATACTTCATTACATTTGCAGGTCTCACTTATGATGAATAAGCACAGCATCGGGGGCATTCATGAGGAGTGATCAACATCTATGTGGCAGGGACATCTGGGCAATTGAAGCCCCATTCGTTTTGAACATCCTTTGCACTGTCTGCAAAGTGGGTCTTTGATTGCCTGAGTTGTGGCTTTTGTTTTGATGCTGCTAAGGGCACTGCTGCTCTGCAGCTGCCCTGCAGTTGCCCCTGCCCAGTGGGGTCTTTATCATTTTTATTAAATTTCTTTTGCACTTGACTTAACTGAACATCAGGGGTAATAAAAATAAACTAGGAAAAGTGAAATGGTGCGGGGATGGAGCTGTTACAATGCCACTAAAGTTTAGAAATGAAATAATGCGTTGGGTTTATTTTTCATGTTTTGGAATTTATTTTTGTTCATCATACAAATCACTTCTTCATTGTTTAAATGAATAAAATGACAGTATTGTACATACTAAACACTAATCTCATTGTACCAAGGCAAGTTGTTTATTTGCCCCATTAGTCTGTATGACCCCAGAGGATATATTTGCAAATAGTAGGTTTCTGTTTATGATCCTTGTCTCCAGACAAATGCTAAAAATTCAGTCAACATTTCATCTTCATTCTGAGAACACACTGATTACTTTGTGTGAAATAAAAATGTGTGTGCGCGTGCACAGATTTATTGAAATTAATATTTGGGAAGAAATAAACTGAATTAAGAATCTACTTTGCTCTCCAAACTTGTGAAGTAAACATCTTTTTATCCCAGCTATATTCACTAGGTATAGTTTTTATTTGTTGCA